TAAATTAGCAGGGATCTGCATACAGTATGTCTGTGTGAGAGTGTGCATAATAGACTAAAAGGATAAGCTTATGACTGAGCATGTGTATTCTCAGGGCACGGTTATTCTAAATTCACAGCCCACCTGTAATTATCCCCTTTTCTTTACTCATCAATCTGTTTCTGAGTTTAACTTGTAGACAGAAAATAAACTAAGGTGTAGACACGTGCTCGGTGGTCCAGATGGTGGCAGGTTTGATGCAAATCTGTGTAGATGTACAAGAAGGCTTAACTACCATTTTTTAAAAATCGCCACAATCAGGTGTTCATGCTTAAAAAAAGTAAAATTACCTGCAAATCTAGACAGATGAGTCCCATTTGCTGCTTGCATTTACATTTCCACCTTAAATAACCTGCATTTCCAGGAGAACTACAAATGCATTTTGAGGAAGTGGTGCTTCAGAGACAGTAATGAAGCGAGGAATCCATCATTCAGAGGCGGATCTGCCGATTTCACAAGTGGCACCAGCCTTAAGGGACTGCGATTCAATGCAACATTGGGTTGTTGTCATTCAGCGATGATGTAGACGCGCTCCACTGTGGCCACTTAGACATAAAATCCATATCTGAATGCAGCACTACTCGAGTCCCACGCTTGTGGTTAAAAAGTTGTTTGGGGAAATGTTAAGACTTAATTGAAGTAAAGCAGGAGAAGGCAGGTTGAGGGAATAATGAGGACATGCCCAGGTGGTTGAAAGTGGAGAGCTGTAGCTCGAGAGCCAACCTGCAACATGTGAGCTGCTGTAAATAGAATGAAGGCATGTAGCATGTTTGCTCTCAGGAGAACAGAAAAATGAAAAAGTACACTTTGCCACGGTCAAAAGTGGCACTCAGTCTGTCCCAGCTCCATCTGAAGACACAAAATCAATTTCCACACCTCTGCCCCCTGTTGCAGGCTGTCACTCGGCCACTGAAGGTGTCTGTAGGACGAAACCGAGCAGGAGGATTTTTCTTTTTTAGAAGCAGAGCATTGAACTTATTGATCTGGACAAATCTCCAGAGCTCAACTGCTACACTGATGACCGCCATCTGAGGATTTTAGGGGAGGAAAGCCGCAGGAGGCTTCTGGGAGTAGAAGTCAGGGACGCAAACTTCAAATTAAGGTTAAGATGCTGCATTCTTCACCAGTGGCTCGCATCTCAGTCATATGCAATTAACCCCTTAAACCCCAGGAGGCTGTTTGACTTTTCAAACTGTGCAAAAAGGTTTCGCTCTGTGGAGGAAGAGAATTTTGAAACACACTAAGTCTTCTTATCTCGACCTTCAAGACAGAGAGAGAATCGACAAATTCCTCCAACTTTCTCTTAATGAAAACTGTAACAGTGAGGCGATGACACTGATGTTATTGAACCAGTGCTAAAAAGCTGTCAAGAAATGACACGTTTGATGCAATAATCGAGGCACTAACTCCACACTATGTTATTTACAACTTCCAATAATGTTCCCTAAAGCAAGCTTGTGGTACAAAAGGCGCACCTGGATAAACAGGAAAACAAAAGCCTAAGGAGAACCTGGCTGTGTGTTTGATTATGTGGCATGGAGTGACCCTTGTTTCCAGAAATGGGAAATTTGACACGGAAGCCAGAGGCTAATTTCAATCCATCCATCCATGTGTGCTCTATGGCAGTTTCCCAACCTTTTGGAGCCACATATTTCACATTAGAAAAATCACAGGGCACACTACCAAACAAAAATGTCACAAAAAGCATATTGATCATTTGACCCGTGCACCAGGCATAACAGAATTGGTTCAGTTTGTCCTGGTATACCTTTTTTGCTTTCTTCTGACCAATACTCATGCTAGGGCCTTCATCTGGGTCGTAGTTTTCTCCAGGACCATATTTATCTATTGCTATTACGCGCTGCGTTTTCTCTGCGTTTTCTCGCAGCATGACTATTATGTAATTTCTTTTTCGTCTTCTTCTGTTTTACTGGCAGTTGGCAACCCATTTAATTAGAGTAGGTAGTTATGTCTCTGGTAGAAGACAATGCAATTATTCTGTCCATTACTCACACCGATCGCTTACTCACTACTCTTTTTTTGGGTGGGGGGGGGATTGCATAGGTAATGACTGAAGTGTGCTTTGCTCAGGTCACAAAGGATGTGTCTCCTCAGCGACAGGAGTGCCTTACCACAGTGGAAGAAGTCTGTAATAAGAGTAACAAAGGCGGGGTCTAGTGATTTCAGCCACAGATCCTTAGGTTTTGGAAGTAATCTCAAACTCTGACCTCGGACAATGTGGACTGAACAACTGATGGACACTGTTGATTGTGAGAAGATGTTGGAGAGGCTTAATTATAAAAATGAGATGGTTAAAGAGCAGTGGGACAGATTCTGTGAGTTCTTATCTAAAGACGAAGCAAAAGCTTAATTTGACGTAAGTCCGATAGCGTCGAATGGATGTTTAGTCAAAATGTTTTTCTTGTTTGTTCTTTTATTGTGTAGTGTTTTGATGTTTTAGCAATTAATTCAATAAAAATCCTTTAATAAAAAAGGCAGATGCAATAACACTTAAGGTAAAAAATGCAGAGGTTTGCTGTGACATGATGATCCACAGTGGTGACTCCTAAAGGCAGCAGCTGGAAAAAGAAGATGATGATATTTTACTGTCATATGCCTTGTTGTTTTTTGATGTTCTTATTTCAGTTTTTTGTAGCTCTTGCACATTTAAAGTTGTGCTTGATTTCTGAACAGAACCTAAGCAAAATAACTAGAAGTTATTAAAATATAAAACCCATAATATTTATGCAGAGATTTTTACTGGTTGCAGTTTTAACTGCTTCAAAGCTTTGCTCATCCCGAGGCTGCCGGCTTGCAGTTGTCTCCGAACTTTGGATAGCTTTAGCTTTAGCCACAGTCCTTTTTGTTTCGACTCTTCTCAATATTACATGCAATAGATACTTCACAAAACTATAAAGAAGCATAAAAATGACAGCCATCAGCGTTAAACACACTCTGAATCATACTCTGACTAGACAGAATGCAAACACTAAATATAATTAGTCCATAAATATTGGCTCAGACTATGACACCACCACCATCTCCTCCCTAAATTCTCATTCGGTACTCCAAACTTTGAGAACGACAGATCTAAATCTTCACTTTTTTCTTTTCTAAATGCTACCAAAGCGCCCTGTGGTCAGCCTGGACGCATCCTGTCTAGACTTTAAACATCTGCTGCTCTCCGTTTCTGAACATTAATCCTTAACTCAAGGTCTGCTGAATTAAATCACACTAGAGATTAGAGGAGTGGATGAATTATTAATTATATTTGTTTATATTACAACCACAGCATAAATCAAAAGTCACTGTTTGGCCCACGGGCAAAACAGGGTCGCAGTGGACTAAAAGAAACATTTGCAATAAATCAAATGTTTGTTTCATGAAGACAAACCCAGCAACTCTTATTTTAATTTATAAACAGTCTGAAGCATCATCCCTGAAGGAAGAGTGGGGCCCCTCATGGCGCACTACTGGCCTCTAGTGGTAGTAACACAAAATCACATCCTGCACGTAACAGCAAGGATTTCAAACTCCGTTTGATCTCAAGTAGGCTGGAGCAATAACATGTAATATCAACCTAATTTTCTTTTAAAAATAAGCCCAATTTCAACAGCGTGTCTCATTTCGTGAGCATTACAGATCAGAGCAGATCTACACTCAACTCAGTCTCCACATGAACTTGTATGAGCCGGATAATTTCTCGAGACTTAAAAATACTTTTCCCAGATAGATGCACTCATGTGGAGTATGGCTGCGATGATCTACTTTAAATGATCCATAAAGACTTTCAGTGTTTGTAGGCTTTTAATAATCATCCTTTTATTTTTAAACAAATAACTGAAATAATTGTATAAAAGACCTTCCTAAGAGGGTGTATGTGATAATGTGGGTTGCTCTTGGTCTTGCATCACCATAATTAATGTCAAGCCCAGGTTCAATATTGCACGTGACCAAATTATTGTGATGTCATCGTTTTTTTTTATGTAAAAATAAATAAATAAATAAATAAATAAATAAAAATTCAACGCCCATTCAGGGAAAAAAAAATAATTCAAAAACAGGGGTGGTTAGGGTTGGGACTTTCTGTTAGGTGTATGTGATGGTGCTTCCACATCACAAAACTTGACATCAGAATGAGATTAGTCACTTGAGGTGCTGAACCTGGACCAACACTACCTTTCATGATCCAGGAACACCAACACGGGGATATTAGATTGTGTCTTCAAGGCGTCAGCAGTTCGCTCATTGTGCATTGCGACAGTTAATCACTATCACACATTTCAGTCTCTCTTTTTTAACACTCTCATTAGTAATCACTTTCCTGGCTATCCTCAAAGTTGACTGGTTGATTGACTTCCTATTGCTTTTCCAGTAGTGCCTCAAGCATTTGTGTCCTGGACGAGCATCAGTAAAACGAGGTTTCTTCCTGTCAAAATGGAGTTTTTCTTTCCCTTCGTTTAAGGAAGAAACAAGCTGCATATAGTAAAGAGCGTTTTTATTAAACATAAAAGCAAAACAGAAACACTTCTTTATTTTAAGAGTAAGCATGACAGCCACTTAAAAGTAGTACGGCATCGTCTGATCGTCTTTTATACAAATAATTTGCATAGCAATAGTAACATGATGAACACTGTACAATGCATGAACACGCAAACACACGCATACTTTAACTTGAAGAACACGGTAACATACAGAACTAGTGGGCCTGTGCATAACACACACACACACACACACACACACACACACACACACACACACACACACGTTGACAAGTTAATAATCAGGATGTTTTTTCCCCTAATCTTTAAAAATGTATAAAATACATGCTATAGTTTTCTCAAAGGTAATTAACGTCTTGCAAACAAACGCCCACATTAAAAACGCCTTTACATCAAATGGGAATTATTGTCTTATTATAATATTATGGTATAAAGGACAGACTACACAACACATAAATATTAAACATATTCACATTTTATATACATGTTTCCTCTTGAGGGAAATTTGAAAAATACTTTCACTCATCTTAAGCTTCATTTTCCCAACTTCTGAACCAGACACGTCACTAAGAGCTCAAGGCTTTCTCCAAAATGTCGATACTGAGCAATGGCAGAGACGCAACTTCAAAAAACACCCTGAAAACATATTAAAAGAACCGATCGTTAACCAAAAACGACATTTTCAAATTATTCTAGCGCCTGTAATCTTTCATGAAGACTTACTTATGTGAGTATTTGTTCTTGATGGCTCTCAGTTTATCATCAGGAGGTGCTGAGAGCATCGAGTAGATTCTCCTGACAACGGGCGCCAAATCTGACGCCTGATAGCCCGAGTGAAACTGCAGGATGGGAGACTGCAGGGGAAAAAAAAAAGAGCAGCACTCATTTAAAAAAAGAAAAAGAAAAGCCAGCCATGTTGAACCCCTTTCAAGTTATTAAAATCCAATACAACATTACACAAAGATAATATTACTTCTAAATTGCCAAAAGCTTACAGGAGATGATTCTGGAAGTCGGCGCAGGCAAGAAATGAAATTACCCACCACCCCTAACAGCAAAATGGAAGCAATAAGGGCTCAATTTTACATACAAAAAACAATTTATATTTAAATTGGGAGGACTGTTCAGGAGACAGAGCTGCAAATGAGAGGCTGGTAATGTCGCACGAACTGACACGGCATCAGATTTAACAAAGTCTACATTTAATGGAAAGGATGGAAATAACACGAGGAAGAGAAGCTTCTTCAGTGCTGCAAACATTACACATGTTAGAACAGATCAAGTAACGTCATTAGATGGTGTTTACTGTAGAAAAGAGTGCTTTGCATAAATCATTCTGAGAAAAAAGGTTAAAAGTTGCCAGCAACCAAACCCTTCCCCTGCTTCATAGTCAGCTATAATAATGCAAGTTGTTTGTATTGCTCAAAACTTTGACAAACAAAAAGCAGTCCAGGTGTCTTTATTTCAAATGCCTTATGTTACCTTTACCAGGGTGACCAAGAACATGCAGACAAAACACATGTTCAGATGTCAGATTTCATCCACATTTTCCAGTCATGTGACCGACTCACTACCCTGACGGGCAAAACTTTCCTCCATAATAACGGGCAATAGTGGACAGTCTGTAGTACTGCAGGACAAAAGCATTAAGCTTATTTTTCCACCTGACTGGAGCCAAGACTACTTGGATCATCCATCCGTGGAGGAAAACAAATATATGAAGTGAAACTATGGGTTTTTGGGGACTTGGGATCCAATTTTATATTTAAATCCCTGAAAGTGGTTGAGTGACGTCTACATGCATCTTCTAGAGCAGCGGTCCCCAACCCCCGGGCCTCGGACCGGTACCGGTCCGTGAGTCGTTTGGTACCGGGCCGCGAGAGTTGAGGCTCAGGTGTGAAATGTATGGTTTTCAGGGTTTTTATCGGTTTTCAGCGTTATTTTGTTATCGTTTTTATCGTTAACTCAGTTTTCCTTGGTCTTTTCACGTGTGTTATGAATAAATCTTCTTTTTTTCGGTACCGGTACTAGTTTTATTTTGTTGTATTTATCCGCGACACCTTAAAGGCCGGTCCGTGAAAATATTGTCGGGCATAAACCGGTCCGTGGCGCAAAAAAGGTTGGGGACCGCTGTTCTAGAGATTCCCTCACCTTACCTTGCTAGGATAAGCATGTACTTTGATCTGGGTGGGTTAATAATGCCGGCACGTGAGAGGTGAAGAGCAAGAAATTGTTCATTGTTACAGCAAAAGCAAACGCTACATACCAAGCTTAAAAAAAAAAATAAACAAATTCCATATTAATAATCTAGTACCAAATCACAACAAACGTTTCCTCAAACTGCTTGACATTATAGGAAAAAGACCCTACAGTAATACAGAGAAAACAGAAAACACCCCCAAAATGACCCCTTATGAACAATCAAAAGGTGATAGAAGAAAAAGTCCCTTTTAACAGGAAGCAACCTTGGGTAAAACCAAAGCTCAGGGACGGGCAGCCATCTGTGAGGGGAAGAAGAAAGCACAAGAGACAGGCAGTGGAAGAGAGCCAGAGATTAATAACTAATGTCTAAATCAACGACTACGCTTTGTTAACTTGGACATTTCCAGTGTAGTGCAAGTATGGGACTATTAATTTGTCACATTAATGTGGTGTCATAACAGTAAAGCTGACAGAATCTTTCCAATGTTGGGTAAATAGTGTTTACAGTGTAAATGAGCTGCCACTGACAGCCTTGGTCGCTGTGGACAGCAGGGATTGGTGCAATTTGGCTTGAAAGGGAGGAATAGGACAGGTGTGTTCAGATGTTGGTGCTGTACTCATTTCTGTAAAGAAATCTGATAGACCAGCAAGCTTTGGCCAAGTTAGACTCAAAGACTTCCAAGGACTGGGCTGGAGGGCGCCATGTGGGTATATCCCAGTAGCTCTGACATCGTGTGAAAACTGTGGATTGTGGTCTTCTATTTATAACTTGAGTATCTGGGTATTGAGAAATGGCCTTAGAAAAACTCAAAAAGAAAGAAAACCTAACTTGCCAAAAATCAACTTAGGAGAGCGAAAACACTAAAGATCAGTGTCAGACTTTAGGGAAGTATTTTAGACTGTTCCGTTAGTCTAATGCAAGCAAGACAAGGAACAATATGGAGGTAACCTACCCATCCTCCCAGGTCTTTGGTGACCAGCGCCATCAGCAGGCAGGCCGAGGCCACCAACGAGCCTCTCTCTGGAACAAGGTCCATCTCCATGAGACTCATCTCGCAGTAGTAGCGAGCCAGAGTCAGCGTGTCCATGCTGGCGCTCACGCACTGCAGACACAGCCACAACAAACATTCTCGTGAGATGTGAACGCAGGTCGAGTCACACAAAAACAAACAGAGCTGCAGTCAGTGGTGGAGTAACCTCTCCTGGTCATGCACACCTTGGCATAGCGTCTGAGGAATCGATACGGGATGGGGATGTTGATGTCAAAAGACAGCGTCTGCAGGATGCTGGCCTCCATGGAGATGAGCTCCTCCCTTTTGTATGCGTCGTCACAAATGTACAAGAAGTCGTCGACGCAAGGCGGGCTGTGCTCCTGCGGGATGGTTAAAAAACACGAATAAGCATTAGGTTGAAACCTGATTGCAATTCGACCGTCCCCTTTAATGCATTTTCGAGTCCTGCAGTCATTTCACTGCGTATGGACAAGGTCAGGTCTCACAGTCCGTTTGATCTCATTTCTGTTTCATGTTTTGAGCCTCTTGATAGTTGCTACCCTTCAGTTTTCTCTACGTGCACTTCAAAATAAAAGCCCTAGGCTGTAACAACTTTTACATGCTTGATCTAAAGCTGGAAAAGCTCATGCCAACTATGCCCGACATCAGAGGAGGCTGAACTTCTACTCTGGCCGCGGTTACGACAGAATAAATAACACTTTTCACCCATTTCTAAAGACGTACAGAGCTTGAAAGCACCGAATGTCAAAAGTTTATGTTTTTTCTGAAATTCAGTACGTCCTCTGACAACCTTTCTTCTCTGGCTGGTCTTCTATATGTACACTCTGGCCACTTCATTAGATACACCTGCTCAACTGTTTGTTAATGCAAATATCTAAAGTGTGGGCTTGGGGGGCCCCTGGTGGGCCGCAAAGATACTGCAGAGGGGCCGCAGTTTAAAATTAATTAAAAATAGCTACATAGTTTACAGATGTATTTTCTTATGTAAAAAGGGAACTTAAACTGGTAATAGTAGGTGGTTAGTTTGAGAGATAACTCATTATGACCTAAACTCACTGCCCTTGTATTGAAGTTTGCATCATTTTTTTGTAATAACATTTTCAAGGAAATCCATCACTGTCTCATGTTTTTTGATTAGATGGTATTTTATGTTTTTTTTAAAGCACTCAGCTTTGTGAATGGCTGATGGCATGTAAATAATGGTCAAGACGATCTGCTGAGAGTCAAAACCGAGGATCGGAGTGGAATTAGAAAACCTGCAGCCACGCTGTAAAGAAGTGTGCACTGAGTGTGTGTCTCTGTTACATCGAGGAGCCCTGATAGGTGCAGTTAATCAACCTGGGATTGAGACTCCGTGGCTTGCCTCCCAGGAGCACTTAAGTAATATCTCCGTTCACGTGTGCTTTTTATCCTCACAGCCTTGTTTTTTTTACTTTTTCACCATTAAAAAAAAACAAAAAACTTTTTTTTTAGAAACACATTCACCTTACAAGCAAATGATTGCACTCTGTTCCCATTAATAGACTTGTATACTAGTTTAATACCTTTCTTTACCATTACTTACCATAGCTTGTGAGACATCCTATGAGAAATTTCAGACTCCCATGTGCCACAGTTGGGTTCTCACCTCAAATTTGGAGGCTACGAGCATGGCGGTAGAGCCAACGAGCTGCAGCATCTCCCTGTGGACCGGGGTTTTAGCCAAGTAGTGGTCCGTCATCTTTACCGCCAGGTAGAGGGTCTCGTGGTACAGCTCGAAATTCTCCTAAATAAAGGGAGAAACAAAGTGTCACTCAGAGCAAGCAAGTGTTTCTAACACAGCAGGAATGCGACGTTTAACTAACACCTCACCTGTACTTCGACCAGCCAGTCAATCAGGATGGCCCTCATCTCTGAGTTGAGGCTGGGCTGCGTGGGCATGTAGTTACAGAGGACAAACTTCTCCTGCGGACGATAAAATTAAAGAGAAAGGAAATGTAAACAAAACCTGTGTATATTTAAATTTATTTAACTCAGAAAAAAAGAAAAGAAAAAAAGTCCAGTGCGATAAAGGCTTTACAATTTGTCTCACCTCTCTGTTTTTAAGGTAGTCAAAAATATCCTTTGCATACTCTGGACACATGTAGCAGTCCTCAGAGTTCTCAGAGTCAATGTCAAACTCCTTTGGGATCTGCATGGATGGGTGAAAAGAAAAGGAAACACAACTCAGTCAAAGCTTTTCACAGCGTCTCTAGCTTTCTATAAATCTATAATTTCCCTTACTTCTTGTCTCCGAAGGTGTGCCGGCACTTCACGGGCAGCAGGAGATGTAGCAGCAGCCTGCTCTTCTACAGGAGCTGCCACATCGGCCGACGTGTCCCCTTCCTTCTCCTCCTCCTCCGTATCGGTCCTCTCTCGCTCGGATATCGTTCCCTCTGAGCTCACAGACGACGACGACCTGCACGGAGGGAGAGAAGAGGGGAATTAAAGAAGTCTGCCACCGACTGGCGCAAGGCATGAAAGGGGAACAAGAAATTTAACCTGAGGGTTATTAGAACAGTTAAATGGACCTACTTTTTCAGGTTAGCTAGGTTGCTTGCAGACGCTGAGGTGGAGCTGGTTTTCTTTGCAGTCTTCTTCCCTGGTTCCTTCTTCTTCCCAGGAAAGCTGATCTGTACCTTATGAGCCTGGGAACATGACGAGAATTAGTTTTAAACATGGATCCAGTTTGTGATACATTTTACTTCAGACTCTTACAATTTGTCCTTTTATGCATGAAACAATTTCAAAATGTGACTCGAGTCCAGACAAATATTCCACACAATCGTTCTCTGACACACCGCTGGTTTGACAGCAAGCGTTCAGGTGATTGTGAGGTGAAAAAAACAAGCAAAATGTTTGTTTCACACCCCCGCCAGGCAGCAGAGGACACATTCACACCACAGTGCAGATCCATCACACACTGACGCACTAAAATGTAGGATTAGAGTGTCGCACAGGCTTCAGACACCACCCTGACGGAGGTGGGATCGGTGAAAATGTTTAAAGTGGATTTTGTTTGAAACTTCAAATTGCCCAGCTTTATTAAAACATATTTTGTTAAGTGACACACTTTCTCATTTAAGAGTGTGCCATTTCTTTTTATAAGAATTTTTCTTTATTAAGAAACCACGCATGTTTCAGTTTAAGCATCGTTTTCAATAAATTGCATGCTCTCCTATTTCTTCATCATGTTGAAGCTCTACTTTGAACCTTATTAAGATCCAACCATGCAAAATATGATTTTTTTTGCCATTTTTCAAGTGATCGTAAACATTAAATGGAACTGTATCAATACACCCTGTGATATCTGGGATAGGCTACAGTCCCCCAAAGACCTGAATTAAATAAGTGGAGAAAAATAAATTCAAAAAGTCCTCATACATGAGAACAGAGCTAGTAGCTGTCTGTAGAATAGAGCAAGCAAAGACTGAACACTCGAGCCAGGCTGGAGTAGGCTGGAAATGGAGTATTTGAATTAGTGACACCACCTCTCCTACTCCTACTGTGTGCTAACTGTGCTCAGACCACTTTGATGGAATCCGTATCTGACGACTGTACCTTGTGCAGACCGTATGATGCAGCTGTAAGTTTTGATGGCAGCAGTAATGTCAGCCTTACATCAAAAGCAGAATAAAGTCCGATTTAAATGTTAAGAGGTCGACGTCGTAGCTGGCAGTTATGCTCGCGATGGTGCATTACATGTTTATTACCATATGGTTGTCATGGTGTTTTATATGCAGTGCCGGCCAAAACTGGAAATGCCAGGAGTAGGGATGGGTATCGTTTAGGTTTTATCCGACACCGGTGCTTAAACGGTGCTTAAAGAATGGAGAACACAAACTTTGTCCAAAAACCTCTCATGTTCAGCTGTTTTTTTTATAAAAAGATGACAATGTTAGCCTTTTCTGCAGCTATAGAGGATATATGGTATCATTCTATCAAATAACAAGACAGCCGCATGTAGGTATGATGATGTTTGCTAGTTCACCTTACATGCATTAATTTAATAACGTGGTTAGCCTACTCAACGTAAATTACGCACAAACAACATTGAGCTAGTCACCCAGAGAAGAACGTCTGCTGCTGCTGCCATCATCATCCTCATCATTTCTGCTACACTGGCAGGGCTACGGGCCAGGACTCTCCTCTTCGGGTTCTTGGGGGATGTTGCTAACTCCGGGTCCAATAACAGGCACCACGCCCGTAGTAGGTACGGTGCATTTCTCGGCTTTAAAAAAAAACGCTACGTTGCCAGGTGTTTCATCAGATTCGAGGTGTTACCCACTTTGCACAGTATCACCTTAAAGCACTTGTTGCAGGCTGCTGAGTTTGCATCTTTGGCTGTGAAGTACAGCCGGACTTTTGACAGTTTAGCCTCCTTTGGGCATTTTTAATCTGTAGCGCTGCTCTAAAAGAACATACGTACCTGGGCCCGCCTACTATGCTTGCAAAGGTAAAATGATTGGCTAGAATCTGAAGTGTATGACATCTGAGGAAATAAAGCACCGAAATGTGCGCTGCGTTTCGGTCTGGTTACTACCGTTTACGTCAGAACCGGTGCTATAATGGCACCGGATACCGGTACCCATCCCTAGCCAGGAGTTTCATCCCTCTTCTGAGTCCTCGCTCGTTGTGATCTGATGTTTTGGGTTGTAATATATTTGTCCCTCAAGTTTTTTTTCCCCTCCATCTTCTTGTACAAACGCTCACATCACTCTCAATAAATTTTCTCAGTCTCTCTCCCTCTCCGTGAGTTTGACATTTGTGAGTCTTTATATGGATGCTGTGATTATTATTCATTGTACTGAGAAACTGTTTTTCTCTCACTGATAAATTCAAAAACTGTGGCAGAAATGAAACAGGAGGAATCAATGCTGAACAAGCTGATCACAATGGTTGGGCCATACCACACATTTGTGTCGAGAGGAAAAGAAGTCAAGCATCATTTTATATTTGACGTTAGCGTGAAAACTGAACTAGGCAAAACAAACAAACAGTCCCACTGAAGCAGGACTTATAACTTTCTTATATGTCAACACAATCAAATGGTTAAATGTTGACAACTTTAACCTTTCACATACAAAAAAGCACCCAAACTAGGAGCCCATGAAATCCTATGAAAGGTGACATCAACTGTCAGGAAGTTCAATCCCGACTCTTGATGAACCGTCTTTGCGATAAATATGTCTCTTTGTGTGCTTATTGAAGCTCTGATCCTGCTGTTAAAGCCCAAGTCACAACCTTTAAAAAAAAAAAGAAAGAAAAAAGTACTTACATTGGTGATATCGATGAAAGCAGTCCTCTTCTTGGGAGCTCCACGAGGAGGGGAGGAGGACCTCTTAACCTGTGTCGCTTCCTCCTGTATGCACAAACAGAAAACACACCACACATATAAAGTTTTGCACAGTGCATGGGCAAAAGAAGCCTTGTGGCGTTGCGTTGCATTGCAAAGCAAGCATCATCATCATCATCATCTCCATCCTTCCCATGCAGCCTTCAGGTGCAGCACTACCTGCTGTGTTTACGTCAGAGCGAGCCACCAGAAGACACATGAATGCACGTGCATTTTACCTGGTTCTCGGACGCTGTTGCATTCAGTTTGGGTATTTTGCTGCCAGCGGCCGCTGTGGGTTTCCTTCCCCTTGGAAAAGGCATGGCTCACTCCCTGACGGTTTCTTCCTAAAAATAAAGCTCTGCAGCCGCTGCTCCGTGTTCTGCTACAGCAAAGAAAAGCACGCAAAAATAGCGGGATGATTAAAAGGAAACAGTGAAAGAAAAACAAACAGATTTAAAATTGTTTTGAGATAACGTATATGGCTAAACATCACATGCAGAAACCCTGGAATTAAAGCTTTACGCTAAGAGGGCGGAGTTTCTCAGGTGAATCGGTTGTGTACTAAAATTTTAAAAAATAGAACGCCAAAATGGCGCAGATAAATTTGTTTATCCTACCTTATGGTATAAAACTTTCTTCTTTAGTCCGGTGACTTGTTTTAGAGAAGCAAAAATGCATATAGTTTGGGTTAATAATCCGATTCAACTGTGTTGTTACTAAGACGAGAGCTCAAACAAAAGTGGTTCAGCCAAGGATCGAATCTGCTGCGCTTCGCTCTCATTGGATAGAATTTGAGTCTGGCGGACCAATCAGGACGTCGCTAAGGATGCAGTTGCCAAGGAGCGCTGGTTTTATGTTAACAGCTACGCCCGGTGCGTCGACGGATACAATTTCAAAATAAAAGAGTTAAAAAGATCATTGATTGTTTAAAAAGAACAGGCTCTATTTTATAATTTAACTAAGGTTTATTTTAAAAAATTGGTATTTTCCTATTTAATTAAGGAAGCAAAACTTACGGTTAGGAGTTTAAACAACTACAACTTCTGTGCCGCCCAAATCTTTTTGACAATATCAAGCAAACTCCAAAGGAGGAGCTTTCGCTATTTTCAAACCACCAAGCAACCAATAGGAGTTTTAAGCATCGAGGCTTGTATTTTATTGACATTCATATGGTTGAAACACGCTTTTCCTAACCATGGTCTTTATTAGTTGAATTTGATCTTGAATTTGTACGCTAGTGCATATACTCAACACACATATATACACACATACCATTTAATATTCAATATTTGTTTTAATTCAAAACATCTTTCTACTATAATACTGCTGGGGTAGCTGTGAATCAGGAAGTATACTGAACACCATGTTGCTCTTTGATCCCTTCAATGGAATATGAATGTGTATAACTATTAGAGAGAAAGCACTTAAGCAGAAGAATAATTTGTATGAATGGGTGTAAATGAGTAAATGAGGCATGTTGAATAAAGTGCTTTGAAAGTATGATAACCTGTATAAGAACCAGTCCATTTACCATAACAGATTAAGGCCAGTGTTATGCATTTATGTCATGTAGCTGAGCAAAGGATGCTGAGCACATTTATATTTCAACTTTAAGTGCTCAAATTTTGATGTGTTGGAAGGCAAACATGAAATCTAAACTTACAAATAAACTAAGCCATGAAAGAAAAGTAGAAGTGTTATTAAATAAGTAGAAACCTATAAATCTTTATTGCCTATGAATGATGTGTGGGTGGGCAAGCTGGAGGTAGTAGTGCTAAATATGTTAAGATTTAAACTGGGAGTTACCAGAATGGACAAGATTTGAAATAACTATGTCAGAGTGACAGCTCAGGATGGAGACTAGAGGCTAGGCTGAAATGGTTTGGACATGTGCAGAGGGGGGCAGTGGATATACTGGCCAAAGGATGTTGAAAATGGAGCTGCCAGGCACGAGAAAAAGAGGAAGACCAAAGAGGAGATTAATGGATGGAGAGAAGGAGGAAATGCAGAGGACTGGTGTGACAGAGGAGCATGCTATTGATAGGGTGAGATGAATACAGATGATCTGTTGTGGTGACCCCTAAAGAAAGCTGCTGGAAAAAAAAGAAGAAGAAGATTGGTTTAGTTTTAGTACAAAAATAGTTTTAGTTTAAAACTCAACAGCTGTCTGAATTTGCATCGTGTGAGAGAGAAGCTTTGAACTGACTGCATTATAGAGTCACTGACATTGTGTTCCACATAGTCTGGCCCGGTGCTCTTCAGGAATCTGTTTCTGTGGTTTAAAAGATGCTCACAGACAAACATGAACTTGTTCAGAAACATTGTGCAAAATTGTGACATTTCTGTATCTAACTAAAACTGGTTGTGTAACACTAACAGGTTTTGGCAGCTCATAGCTACACAGCAGTCCTATAAATGTTCTTTTCCCCGCTTATATTTTTCAGGTTTTCAGATTTTCTGTGTGTCAGACACCTCTGGCATTTGTATGATTTTTAAAATGGGCAGCCACACAAGATCGAAACGACCCTTTAAATTTATTTAAATCATCGTGTTGAGCAATGACCTCACTAAAGCAGAGAAAAGTATTTCCTGGATTGGAGGGGAAAGAGCACAGAGGGCCTTCTGGGGCTCACAACACAGCGTTACTGCAGTAACAGCATGGGTAATAGAGTCACAGGACTGTGGATTAAATGGGTTCAGGATGGACAGTGGGAGAAGCTGGCAGCTAACATCCACCCACACGCCAGGAGTTGGGAGGGTGTCATCTATGATTCTTTTCTGAATAATGGGAATTGAGGCCATAAAGTGTATCTAAGAGAACAAAATAAACTCATTTCTAACCAGGGGACCTCAGCCACGTCATCCTCAAATCCACCCTCTGATCACATCATTACATATTTCCGGACGCCCTCATCACCACCAAACTGAACAAACATTCCTCGGTTTTCATTTCAACGCCAAAGCCAAGCACACAAGAGAGCAGATTCAACAAAATTTTTAAAAAGGCCAAACAAGTCCCTCGGCTTCACCCGTTTAAACATTTCCCCCCATGCTTTCAGTTTATTTGAACAGGACACACTAAAGCAGCTACAAGACCTGCAGTTCAAACGTGGAATTTGGTGTCTAACGAAGTCAACAGAGAGATATCATCTCACGACACCGTTTTTATTTCATCTCCTCTCCATGCTGTCCTCCTTCCAAGACGAAAAGTCTTCCAGATTGCTTCCATCGGAGCTTGGAGGAGTAGTTTGTATGATTCTGAGGATTTGGTTAGAGCTGCAAAGAAAAGAGTGGAGTTTCAATGTTAAATTCAGGGTCATGGAGGTAGTATATCACATAATATTATTCAAAAGTGATCAGACTGTGGGCTCAGTTCCAGTGGTTGGATGTACAAATTCAGGCACTTGGACCCTCTTTTTATGATTTGTCATGTTCTTTCTATGCAATGGAAAATATTGCAGTGCTTATTGCTCATTAAAAAATGGATGGTTTCCTCACGTCTCCAACTAATATTTATCATATACACAACACATTTATTAGACTACCCCCCAATGTAATGTTCATACATTAAAAATTAACAGCATTTATATGTTTCTCTAATAGGTAATTCACCAGTATGTGCAAGCTATTTAATCAAAGTGATATTTTTAAGGCTAAAGTGTCTGGATTTTTACTTGTTACAGATTAGCTTCACATAAAGGCTCTGAATTTTTCCATCACCAGTAAAATCATCTGTGTCTTTTATCTGCTGTTTGCCCAGACCAGGGGTGCCCAATCCCGGTCCTCGAGAGCTACCGTCCTGCAGCTTTTAGATGCATCCTTGTTCCCACACACCAGAATCAAATGAATGGCTTGTTATCAGGCCTTTGCCAAACATGATGGCATGCTGAAGAGGTAATCAAACCATTTGATTCAGCTGTGTTGGAGTAGGGATGCATCTAAAAGCTGCAGGATAGTAGCTCTTGAGGACTGGGATTGGGCAGCCCTGGCCCAGACTTTTCCTTATCTTCTTTTTTCAAGGTAGATGTAAGTCAGGCGGTCGAGAAGCTAGCTTATCAATCAGAAGGTTGGTGGATCAATTTCTGACTCCTTTAGTGCACATGCTAAAGCATCCTTGGGCTAGATGCTGAACCCCAAGTTGCCCTGATGCATCCATCGTAGTGTGTCCATGTTAGAAAGCACTCAGACATAGATTTTTTAGTATTGTGTGATTGGGTGAATAACACTTGTAGTAAAAACTGCTTTGAGTGTTTTAGAACTAGTCCACTTACGTCTATAAGACCAAAAGTGCTGTTGTAACCACAGCCATTGCTCCCTTTGAGGCCATTGAAAAGAATGCAGGCACTTTTGTTTTGGCTACACGTTTCAGACCCATCTATAATTATTAATAAAGGTTTTTATTTATTTTTTTAAACAAAGGTTTAAGCAAAGTCATCAACATTTGTAAGCATTGTAAACAAAAGATTTAAAAAAAGGTATTGCAGCAATGTAATGTGTTTTCTGAACATGCGAGTGTGTAAACCTTCTAGACAAAGCACAAAATAAATACAAGCCTGCAAATGAGCACAACATGGTGAGTTTTCCTTTCATACATAAAATTGTTTGACCATTGCGGTGCACCAAACTGTAAATAAGAGTACTGTATTTTTAAAAGAGTAAATGGCGAGCATCTGGAATGCTTTACCTCCTTCATAACCTCTCCTCCTCTGCCCTTCATCTGATCCTCTTCTGTTTTAACTCATGAACAAAGGAAGACGATTAAGCTGACAGAACCGTTTTATATCAGACCCAAATAGGTTCATCTAATGCCCATGAATGTGTCATTTTTTGTTGTGTCAGTGAGTTATATTTATGCACAATGGCTGATCATCTCTCTCTCTCCTCTCTCTCTCACACACACACACACACACACACACACACACACACACACACACACACACGACACACAGACACACACACACACAAACACACACACACACAGCACACACACACAGGAAGTGAGTAAAACTTCTGAACTTCTTTGTCAAACCACTTCCTTGTAAACTCATTTGCACTGGCTGCATTAAAGCGTCAACTGTCACTCTTCTCCCAGCTGGTAAGTTTCTCTAAATGTAGGCAGTTTAAGTTGCCTGATATTTACTGCATCTTGTTTATTTTTATTTTTATACAATTCTGTAGTACGTAACTTTTGAGGCATGTAACTTTTACTTTTAATCGTATCCAAATGGCCTTCAAGATTCCTCCTGAGTCTTGCCATATACCTTTAAAAATCAGAAGCTGGCCATTTTGAGCTGCCGTACTTCATACATTGTACACTGTGAGTTGATTCTGGTTCTGTTTGGGCAGAAGTCTAGTTGCATGAGTAAATTTGTAAATCCTTATTTGTACGGATGTTCTTGAGCTTTCAAAGACTCAACCAAATTCAAGATAGGTTGAGACAAGATACAAAGCAAAAGAAAAACTTTGGATTGTAACACTGAAACTGGAAGAGGAAGAAATAAAGGTTAAACAGAAGGTCATTGTAGGCATCGGCTTTTTTTTTTAACCAGTAATTTGCATCTCTGACCTGCCTTTGTGCTGTTAGCGTGGGCGCTAGAGAGAGTAGGCGAGGTGTGTTAGTGTAATCAAATTAGGGACTCACAGGATTGTGTAACACAGCAATCACAGGCCCAAATGTTCCTGTCTCCATGTGGAGGTCCAAGTCATATTGCCAAGAGAAAAACATTTTTTGTTTTAGCTGCAATTTACTCCACATCTGCACTTCATTCCCAGTCTCAACCTCATCTTTGGGCTCTGTCCATTTTGAACAGAGGATGGTGGTCAAATTAATGGGTAATGACAGGATAATGGTGTGACACACCATATTAAATGTGCAACATGTATGCCAGTAAAGTAAAAATCATTTTTACATTGTGGCTACATGAGGAAAACAATGGGAAGGAGAAAATTATTGTTTTTAATTTATATTTACATTCAAGAGGTAAACGATCCTCTAAAAGCTGCAACTGAACCAGTCAGCCTAGAAGGCCATTAATGCCAATTCTGACATTCACAGCCAGATTCAGAGACCGTAAGCTAATAATAACACAATAACTGTGATGAAACTGAAGTTAAGGAAGTCGTTCACGGTACTAATTTTAGTTCCACATTTCTGACTCATTATTACAATTCAACTAGAACTGAGGATTGCTTCAAAATTCTTATTTTCATTAGTTTAGAAAATACAGTTTTATGCCATTACCGGTAATGCATTTCTGTACTAGCAAAGTAAAGCTGTGTTGAGAGGAGTAACTATATCGTTAGCCCCCTCTCTTTATTTTTGTCTTCCATCTTGCCTAATCTGTTTTGTAGTTCCTCATTCAGAAAGCAAACTAAAACAACAACAAAGTCTCTGCCAAAAAACACCAGAATTGGTACTTCGTGAGGAATGGTTGCAAGGTATTATTTTCAGTAGTTTAGATGAGAACATTTGATTGCAATTATGTTAGCAAGTGCTAACAAATTCAGTAACACACTGTGGGCTTTGCGAGAGAGAAGACATACTTAAAATACAGGTCTATAGATCTGTTGGTTACCATCTGAAAACAACCATTTGAAAAAAAGAAATAAGTATTCAACAGGTCTGTAAACACTTGCAAACTATTCCCAAAGCTGTAGTTAAACAGTAAAAAGTAAGACATGAACCAGAAACTTTTCATATTTTGAAATGTGATTGTTACACTGGTAAGGCACAAATGTTATTTTCAAGGTGAATGTTCATCATGTCTGGTTTCCATTGCGCTTTTTCAAGTTTCACTACAGCTCACCGAGCTAGTTTCCAAGTCTGTCTTGTGTTTGCAGAAAAGTCATCTTACGTGTAAACTGCAGAAACTTTCGAGCTACCAAAGCAAACAAAAGCAGGTGTCAAGTGCAGCACCCTCTTTACAGTCGATGTCATCCAGAGACTCCCATTAATAATTTGCCAACTGAGATTACACATTTTCCCATAGCAACCATAGGTTGCCACAGACTTACCAACCAGTCTCCAGGCTCCAGGCCTGAGACCTTAAATAAGCTCGTCTCATCTGCTTTCTAGTCCCAATAAACAACCAAATTAACACAGAGCAAGGACTGATAGAAGATATTATTTTCAGCGGCTATAACTGCTGTTTGAAGGTATTAATGTCTTTGTAATCTAGTTAGATCAAGCTATACCGAAAGCAGTTTAATCTGCTTTGTAATTTCTGAGTCAAAAGGAATACTTAGCAACTATCCATCCATCCATCCATTCGCTTCCGCTTATCCCTTTCAGGGTCGCGCAGGATGCTGGAGCCTATCCCAGCTGTCATAGAGCGAGAAGCGTGGTACACCCTGGACAGGTCGCCAGTCTGTCGCAGGGCAACTAGGAAGTATTAAAATAAGATGCATTTTAAATAAGTGTCTTTTTATCTTTCTATGCCAGCCTAAACATACCTTGAAACACAACCTAACTAGTACTCAGTGATAAGTAGTTAAAAGGTGTTATCCCCCCAGTATTTTAGATGAAACAATTTGATGGAAGTAATTAATTAGTCAGCCAAAGTTACACTAATACTAATAAAGCACAGGGAGCAATTCGCACATCTCACATCCCTTTGAAGCTGACAGTTTGTTGCTAGTGGTCATTTCAAGCTTCACTTCAGTTCAGTGTATTTACTGTCCAATCATAGGCCAGTCACCAGTGTCCTATGCTCCTGTTGGTAATTGCTTCAATCGCTCGTCTTGAAGTTAAAAAAGTATATCTCCACCTACTTCACATTGTCAGCAGTTTTTTTCACCCATAAGTACTGAAATTCATTGACTTTCTCTGGTGTCTGGTCACAACGTTGCTGTGGTTGCTCCCTATATGGATGCAGCTTAACGCCTATTAAGTTAACCAGAATTTCACACCATGTGGTCATAGGCCTACTACACTAAGTGACACACTGTGGTGACACACATCTCACAATGTGTCACATTGTTTTTGTAGTTTCTGAGTCAAGAAGCATACTAATAGTAAGGTATGTTTAAAATAAGATATAACTTTAACAATAAGGGCAAATCCCATTACACAAGCCTGTTTGTGCTCTCAAATGTCATGAGTAATGTTTATGTAAAAGGCCACATTTTGCCAAGAATTACATCAGAAGATCAATAGCTCATCTGCTCGCAGCCAGACAAATAAGAAAGAAAAACATTCCCCTATAACCCCCATAAAAAATAAAACATGCTGTTCTTAATTGTCATATTTTGAGAGATTTAAACAAATAACACATAAAGTTAATGAGTAAGCTTTAGAGATGGTGCCAGGCAGACTTTTATTACCACCACAGTGTTTGGATGTTGTTGGATGTTGTTGGTAATTATCTTCTCATTGAACTCTCAAAAAGAGGAAATAAAGAAAGGCTTAGTGTCTTTTACAATATCAAACTATTAATTTAACATAAGAGGAATTAGTAAAACAAAACAGGCTGCCTGAAATTTATTCAATCTGACTCTTTAGAACAGTGGCAGCTGTAGGAAATTTTATGCTATTTAATGTCAATACTGCACACGCGGAGCCTCGAAATGAAGCTGGACTTGAAAAACAAAGACCTTCTAGAAAATTATTACGCCTGTCAAAAGCTATCATCATTTGCTCTCCGGGTAACAAACCTTTCCTCATTTCTGTACAAATTGTGCATCAGCTGTCGGGCAAGTTGGTGCTACTTGAGACCAACAGAGTGTTTCGTGCTAATCTAATAGCAAACCGAACTTCCTGGTTGTCACATCCTGGCTGGCTGACAGCTCATATGGTGACAGGCTGTGGTTGAGGCCTTAATCTTACTTTCCATCTCATTCTGCAAGGGGACTTCCTCTATTATTTCTGTCTCGTTATTCTTTCTCTATGCTCTCCTTGCTAGACTTTCTTGTTTGATTTTTCTTGTACTTGTAGCATTCTTGTGATCTCATTTTATTTCTTGTCTAATCTGAAACAGCTGAGGGATAAGAAAAATGTTTCTTTGGGGGATGAAAGGAGAAAGCATACACCAAGGGAAATATTGACATCGTACTTAGCTTACACTGAGCACGCTGGCAAGTAATATTCAAATAAAAGTGCAAAAATAAACTAATTTTCCAAACAAGCAGTCCAAACCAGAGGTTATTTTTCTTTGCTTTCCATTACCTTCTGTAGCTGAAAAGAAGCTGCAGGAAAATCAATATCCCCTGCACTTTCACGGAGATTATTGTTTTTATCCACACAGGATCCAATGAAGACAGAAAGTGCAGATTCAAGGATGCCAGAGCCCCCTCCACAAGACCCTGGTATTCCCGAAGGCCTCAAAACAAGCCCCCTAAACACAGAGGCTCTCGGGGAGTTTGCCCAAAACATGTCAGAGCACATACTTCGATCAGTTTTTAGCCAAAAGGAAACAGTAGAACCTGAGGAGTCCATTTATAACCAAGAGCATGAAATGCTAGCTGAGACGCTAGCATCCGCAGTGATTGAGATCGCTCTGAGTGAAGTGTGTAGAGGAAGAAACTTAAAGGACCACATGGAGGGTGCTGAAATAGAGATGGAGAACAACAAGGGTGAACACCAGTGTTTGGAGGATAAATCTAGAAGAGACCAAGAACACCAGACTTCTACCCAGCCTTGCCATCCACCTCTATCCCAGTCAGGGCTTCCCGCTGTGGGATCCCTCGACTACCCCGACGCCCCACCGACCACGCCTCTTCTCCCAGAGCTGGAGAGGAGCAGAAGCAGCTTCGCCCGTAAGCTAAAAGGAGGCCTGGCAAAGGTTTTCCTACCCTCGCCTCCTCCACCAACGCCAAAGGACAAGGAGGACAACGGAGACGCTTTGATCAGCGACCCTCATGTGGAACTGATGGAGCATCTCATGCAGTCGCTGTCTACAGATGATTTGGGGAGAGGCAGTTTCGAAGTAGCACCTCTGCATGAACCAACTATAGAGACTTTTGCACAGGCTCTGTCATGTGATATTACTAAGTGGGTTCTGGCTGCCAAAAAAAGAGAACAGATGTCACATGACAGTGATCTCAACCTACTGGCCCAACAGCTGGCTGAAACCATTATCACGTCCTCCATTGATGAAGCTAAAGTGCTTATCTAGGATTTAAAGTGATTCATGGAGTCAGGTATGATGAATAGCCTATATATATATGCACACACAAGCTCAGTCCATGGACTATATATACATAAAAGGTGGACATAGCCACCATAACACAATCAGTTTAATTGTCTTTTGTAGCTATCTTAGTGTTTTTAAGTCAGACACGAAAAGTGAACCACTTATTGGTTAACAGCTTATGAGTAACAAGTCATTAACCAATTAGCATTTCCTGGTTTATCCACCTTTCTGACTCAAATAATGATGACAAATTTACAAAGGAATTTCATACTCTGTACACTATGATGTAAAACTAGCAACTGAGCCTCAAAAAGTTACCAGGTATTCAGTGACATCAGAGAGTATGGAAGTACTTCTATAATAGCAGAAGGCTTTTTAGAAACCTGAGTAATCGCCCCCTGTTGGGCATCAGAAAGAATGCAGGTAAAAGCAAGATAGATAGATAGACTATCTCTAGCATATACTTCTGTCCTACTCCACATACTCCTTCGCTACACGATGACATGACAAAACATTCTGTTCTGCAGCACAGGGAGAGAAGATGCCTGCCACTTTGAGTTCTCTAAGCCACTAAAACACTGTGGATTGTGGACTATCTTTAGAGTTGGTCTATATATATCCTTTCTGTGCAGCTTTTGACTACAATCCTCAGCAAGTCCATAGTCCTACCCATTACCAAGCCAGTACTTCTCTGTTGGTCACTCTGTAGACTTAGAAGCTAAATCTATCATTTATATATAGTCTGTGGGGTCTGTTATTGTTATTTCCTCTAAAGTAGGCAATACACATTATCTTACTCCAAGATTTGGGAATTTCATTTGTTACAGGAGTTAATATGATTCATTTGCATTTAATTGTAATATTATATTAATGCTATTTATTAATGATAACATATTATTATGAGTTCAACTGTGTATTCGTTTGTGTTTCTTGTTCAGAAATGAACTTGTCATTGAGGTTAAGTGGCATTTCTGCATCCTGAAAACTGCTGGATGATAAGTAACTGTTACATTTCATGATGGATTAAAGTACACTGGATCTGACTTTTATTTATTTCTTACAAAACAATACTTGGCTCCAAAAGCAATAACCACATTTGTCCTTTGGATGGCAGCACAGTAAAGAAATTTCAGCATGAGCTCAGCAGTGCTGACCTTCTTGGGACATGACAACGACTGGAATTAATTTTGTTTTCCATTTAGGAAATCATTTACTTTTAAATGGTGGTCACCTGTCAGTAAAATTGTTTTGTTTTGTCTGATTTTGCTTCTATGGTCAGGTCCTGCCAAAAGGGAAAGCCCTGCTAAATAATGCAGAGTACAACGACTTGCAGACTGCTATATCTGTAACAGAAGATGAAACTGGACAGCAGATGTTCTGTAGATGAACTTGTATCACACTGGATTATAATCAGACATAACACTGGCAAATTGTTTGGTTAGTTTTCTTTGTAATCACCCTCAAAATCTTTATGTATCCAGCATGACTCATTCAGCCCGTACACTGAGCAACGATACTGGCATTTTGGACAAATTTGTGTTCTGGCTCAAAGAAAGCTCGTTTTCATACTCACTTAGTCCTTGATGTCAGGTCTTGGAAGAACAAAAAGAAAAAGAAAAAAAAAAAACAGGGCGCCACAGGTCTTAACCAAACACTGATGCGATCCTGGAATCGAATAAAAACTCTGTTTTCTTTTTAAATCAGTAACTACTTAAACACAGTTGGAGATCGACAAATTTACTGCAAGAAAATCTTTGCTGAACTTTTAAAGTGCTGTTTTGAATAAAGAGTCTCATTGTTCCTCTTAGTCACTGCTGTTTGAGTTCACACACTTTTTTGGTTCAAGAAACTAGGTAAGTGGGACACACAAACAGACTCAGACCCCCTTCCGCCCTCCCTTTTATTTTGCACAAACACAAAACACGCACACAAAAACCCCACCATAAAATAAACAACCCAAACATGTGCAGATGATATGAAGCATATTTCTCTCTTTCCACTAAAAAAACCCCAATTAGGTCTGTATGTTAATACTTACAGACTTGTCTGGATGAGGTATAAACATATTAACAAAGAGTTCAAGCACAAATTACTAACATACAGCAGACATAAGACTTAGTGCTTTTATCATTTTCAGTCAACAGTAGTAAGAAGGCAGTCAGTCGCTTCTGTGACGATGGAAATATTTGAAAACCAGTACGTCCTCATTCCTGGCAAGTCATAGTCTGCTCTTATTTTCAAATACAATGCCCTCTCTCAGACATGCACGAGGTGTCCTTTTTCCATCAGTGCCATGTTGTCTCAACAGTGAGAGAGGTCTCCCTCCCAACTTATACATTATTCTACAGATGTCATGATCCTTGTGTTTTGTTGGGTTCTTTTGTTGATTTTCTGGTAATAATGGAGTTTTAGTTATGGAGTTATTTAAGAGAATGGAACACATTGTCATTGTACATGTACAATGAACTTGTGAGTGCTCCACACCAACTATGCTAGAATAAAATATAAATAGTAGACAGCAGGAATAAATAGCAAGCAGAATAAATATATATGATGAAGAGGGATAGATACAAAACAAGAGAAATATATACAAAGAAAAGAAAAGCCTTGGTCTGAGTGGAGTCTGTGTGTGAGTGGCCTGAGTGATGAGGGTTACTCAGACTATGCCTCAGATGAGTGAGGTGGGTGGGCAGTTGTAGGGTGTGGGGGTTAGTGTTTGTTAATAGTCTTAATGGCGTACGGGAAGAAGCTGTTTGTGACTCTGGAGGTGTCCTTTCACTCTAGTATTCAGAGTCTACTTAGAAGAATTACTATGTTTTGACATTATTTATTGTTATATTTATTAATTTATCCTCCAGAATATCTTATTTTAAGTCATCATCTCTGTGTTGTTTCCTTGTTATGTTACTTGCTGTTTTATTTTGATAATCCTTTGTCTCACAGATCTTTATTTTAGTTATATTTCCCTTGTCTCATCACTTTATTTAATGCAGCCGCGTCTAGTTTCCCAGGTGTCTCCACTCTCAGCCTCAGTTTTGTCAGGTTGGGTGTTTTCACGCAAAGAAAAGTAAAAGTGAACTCCAAGCAAACTAAAATGCAGCTCTACAAACCACGTGAGAATGTTCAGCCTGCTAATTGGCCAGATGTGTCTGGGGCAGGAGCAACAAAAGTAAATAGAGGAAGAAGGTGCTCTGTTCTGGGCTATTGGAAAACACAGAGAACTTACCTTTATTTCATGGCTAGCTGCTAGCCTTTACAGATTATTACACATCTGTAATAGCTTCCAACAGTGAGAATACAAAGCATTCTAGGCTTGTAACATACAGTAATTAGTTTGGATTGGGGTCGGATCACATTCACACAACAAAAGTGATATTTTGGCAAGTGTGAAAGCACACTTTGGTATGCTTTGTGTGCTATATGTGTTTGTAAAGACTTTTGGAAACAGGAATTTATTTCCTGTTTTGGAATGTGACTTTCTTGGTCCCCTGTACTGAACTTTCTTAAAGTCCTTTTTTTTTTGTGTCATTCTTCAAGTCTGTTTTGTGAGTCCTACATTTGGGGCCTTTTGTCCAGAAATCATAAGAGTAGAAAACATTTTTTCCTGTGAAGGGGTATTTTTTAACCAGCGATGGGCACCTAAAGTCTCAAAAGTTTAAAGCTTTACTTCTGTTTTTGGCTAAAAAGATCCAAAGTTTTGAGGCAAAGAACAACATCTGGTGGCGAAATGAAGGCAAAGCAACCTCCAGAGCACAACTGAACCACAAGCATACCTTATTGTTTCAATCTCAGATCATGAATAAAAGCTCTGAAAAGACTAATGAATGCATCACTATTATGCATTAAAAAAATAATTATCTGTTGTAACTTTCATTTCTGGTAAAATGTCAGTCTGTAAATATACATTGTCGTGCATCTGGAGGAATCCGAGACCAACCACTGTAGGGTCTGACAATGGGTCCAAAAATTTGTCTTTAAGCATGTCAGTCATCAAGGTACAAAAAAATCAAATCAAAAAATCAAAGTTGATTCTTTACTGTCCCAGAATCAACTATATGGGTCATCCAGATAACTGATGGCAGTCAAGGTGCAGTTGCCTAGAACTGTAGAATCTCATCTGTGAAATGCACAGGGTGCCAGTGTTGGACCTGCCAATTTTAGTATTCAATAGCAAATGTCAAATGGGCTCCGTGGTACCAAGCAGTGAGCAGCAGAGGATGACAGGCCCTCAGACACCCTCATGTTCCTGTTTTGGTCAGAGACATTCTCACCATTGGCCTGCAGGAGGTCATTTTGTAGGGCTCTGGCAGTGCTCATCCTGTTCCTCCTTGCACAAAGGAGTAAATACTTGTCCTGCTAATGGGTCAAGGGGCTTCTACAGGCCTGTCCAACACTCATAGAGTAAATGCCTGTCTCCTGGAATCTCCTCTCAGATATGATGCTATACTCTAATTTGAACTTTTTTGAGCAGTGTATTTTTATCTTCCAAAGAAAATGTTTTTGGTATGAGTTACAGATTTTTTGTTAGGGCAAGCAAAACAGCAGTGCTTACTAGAGCAGGGCGATATGACCAAAAATATTTATCACGATACACATTTGAAAATTTGCAATAACGATATAACTGACGATATAAATGACACTAGACAAAATACTTTACAACTCCACAACTTTATTAGTGCAAAAAAAACCCCATCAATGTATTTTCACTTAAACAAGCAGCTGTTTTTTATGTGCATTAAAGTTATATAAAAACGTAACAGTGCAAATTCCTTGCTGACAGTTTAACCAAAAGGCATTTCCAGTGGAAATTGGCCGACATATCCTCAGCATAACCATGTATAATATCCACAAAACTTAAAAAGAGGTTATACACACACAATACGGTAATATTATGTTGAAGCACAGTACGTATCACTCCGCGAGGCTCCTGCCTACGATAGCCGTAATGCTCCGACAATCCATCAAGCGGTGCGGCTTCGTAGCTTAGCAAAGTCGTACTAAAACATTTGACAGATTTTCGAGCGCCGTGTACATAAAATCGTTTCGAGGTCAGTAAACACAACCAGAATTCATACATAAGGCACACGGGATTATAAGGGGCACTGTCGATTTTCAGAAAAATCAAAGGATTGATTTTAAGTGTGCGTATTTTCCAAACAACACGGTAATAACGACGGCCCGCTAGCATGCTCTACCAAAAATAGTGCTTTGTTGTGTATCTGACGGACGAAAGCTAAACCAGTTCCACACCATGAAGTTGCAGCATTTTTACAAACCAGTTCTGGTTCATCTGTTTCATTCAACGATCCACTTTCGCTCTTCTCATTCTGCGTCGCCGCCATGTGCGTATGTAAACAAAGGCACTGCGCATGCGCGTTTTACCCATATTCTATCGCGATATTTCCTTTTCTTATCATTGCCCAACATTACACCAGTATTACCGTGAACGGTATGATACAGCCCAGCCCTAGTGCTTACCCGTTTAAAAATAGACATCGATTAAAACCAACCAAAGCTCTTTCCCTGCATGTCAAACAGCACTCTCTTATAAACCTGTTTGTATGCATTTAAACTCAGAGGTGTGGACTCGAGTCACATGACTTGGACTCGAGTCAGACTCGAGTCATTAATTTTATGACTTTAAACTTGACTTGAAAAAATGTTCTAAGACTTGTGACTTGACTTGGACTTTTACACCAATGACCTGGGACTTGAATTGGACTTGAACCGGTTTACTTGAAAAGACTTGATATTTCACCCCAAATATAAAATTTTACATGCATATTGTATAGAAAGTGTGCATCATGTATTCAAACCACACTCCGTACGTATGTGTGCGTGAGCTGTAGCACAGCCAATCAAATTAACCAGATTTTTTTTAAAAAGAAAAAAAAAAACCCTTAAAAATTTTATTTTTTTCAGGTACATAAACTATGAAGTAGTCAACAAAAAACCGAAATGCAATATGCAAAACATGCAAGAAAAGAATCACAGACAGAGATGGAACAACTTCCAACTTTCTCCAACAGTTGAAGTTACATAAAGAACAGTAGGTGGTCCTTCTCTTTTGCTACAATGAGATAGAGGAGAGATGAGTAAGCTTTAGAGATGGTGCCAGGCAGACTTTTATTACCACCACAGTGTTTGGATGTTGTTGGATGTTGTTGGTAATTATCTTCTCATTGAACTCTCAAAAAGAGGAAATAAAGAAAGGCTTAGTGTCTTTTACAATATCAAACTATTAATTTAACATAAGAGGAATTAGTAAAACAAAACAGGCTGCCTGAAATTTATTCAATCTGACTCTTTAGAACAGTGGCAGCTGTAGGAAATTTTATGCTATTTAATGTCAATACTGCACACGCGGAGCCTCGAAATGAAGCTGGACTTGAAAAACAAAGACCTTCTAGAAAATTATTACGCCTGTCAAAAGCTATCATCATTTGCTCTCCGGGTAACAAACCTTTCCTCATTTCTGTACAAATTGTGCATCAGCTGTCGGGCGAGTTGGTGCTACTTGAGACCAACAGAGTGTTTCGTGCTAATCTAATAGCAAACCGAACTTCCTGGTTGTCACATCCTGGCTGGCTGACAGCTCATATGGTGACAGGCTGTGGTTGAGGCCTTAATCTTACTTTCCATCTCATTCTGCAAGGGGACTTCCTCTATTATTTCTGTCTCGTTATTCTTTCTCTATGCTCTCCTTGCTAGACTTTCTTGTTTGATTTTTCTTGTACTTGTAGCATTCTTGTGATCTCATTTTATTTCTTGTCTAATCTGAAACAGCTGAGGGATAAGAAAAATGTTTCTTTGGGGGATGAAAGGAGAAAGCATACACCAAGGGAAATATTGACATCGTACTTAGCTTACACTGAGCACGCTGGCAAGTAATATTCAAATAAAAGTGCAAAAATAAACTAATTTTCCAAACAAGCAGTCCAAACCAGAGGTTATTTTTCTTTGCTTTCCATTACCTTCTGTAGCTGAAAAGAAGCTGCAGGAAAATCAATATCCCCTGCACTTTCACAGAGATTATTGTTTTTATCCACACAGGATCCAATGAAGACAGAAAGTGCAGATTCGAGGATGCCAGAGCCCCCTCCACAAGACCCTGGTATTCCCGAAGGCCTCAAAACAAGCCCCCTAAACACAGAGGCTCTCGGGGAGTTTGCCCAAAACATGTCAGAGCACATACTTCGATCAGTTTTTAGCCAAAAGGAAACAGTAGAACCTGAGGAGTCCATTTATAACCAAGAGCATGAAATGCTAGCTGAGGCGCTAGCATCCGCAGTGATTGAGATCGCTCTGAGTGAAGTGTGTAGAGGAAGAAACTTAAAGGACCACATGGAGGGTGCTGAAATAGAGATGGAGAACAACAAGGGTGAACACCAGTGTTTGGAGGATAAATCTAGAAGAGACCAAGAACACCAGACTTCTACCCAGCCTTGCCATCCACCTCTATCCCAGTCAGGGCTTCCCGCTGTGGGATCCCTCGACTACCCCGACGCCCCACCGACCACGCCTCTTCTCCCAGAGCTGGAGAGGAGCAGAAGCAGCTTCGCCCGTAAGCTAAAAGGAGGCCTGGCAAAGGTTTTCCTACCCTCGCCTCCTCCACCAACGCCAAAGGACAAGGAGGACAACGGAGACGCTTTGATCAGCGACCCTCATGTGGAACTGATGGAGCATCTCATGCAG